CCTTCGGCCACGTCGTGTACCGCTTCCCTCTTACTCCTACAGCAGACTGCGTAGTGATTGCGTTTTGTTCACTCGGCGCATCTCTTTCCATACGTGGGTCACTTCCTCGGCGGATGAGAAAAATTACAATTAGTGCATCTTCTCTGCTCACGCTGTTTGGCTTGCTCTTGTTGAACCGGGTCAATTTTAACAGTTTCGCCATCCCACGCTTTGTTCTGTGCTTCGACACGCTACTCAGCCTTGCAGCACTCTACTGCTACTTCTAGAGTTAGGTATTTTTTTCGATGCAGGTTCTCTCGCAACACCGTGCTCGAAATCCCGTAAACAATCTGATCTAGGAGCAGAGATTCTTTCAAATCTGCAAAGTTGCACGTCCTTGCCTTCAGTTGCAGGTTTCTAAAAAAATGTTCAAATGGTTCTCCTTGAGCTTGCCGACGCATGCGAAACACGTAGCGCTCGTACGTTTCGTTACATTTGGGCAGGCAGTAGTCTTCAAAAGTCTTGACTAGTACGTCATAGCCAGCTTGTTCCTCTGCTGTCAAATTCAGTGTGTTAAACACGTCTATAGCTTCCTGGCTCGGGATATGTAAAAATATGGCGGCCTTCTGTTGCTTACTGCGAGGCTTTGTAGCTTCCGTTGCTATGAGGTAAAGCTTAATGCGCTGCTTGAACCTTTGCCACGACTTCATCGCGTTGTCGCCAAGTTACAGCGGTTCCGGAGGTCGAAGATCTGTCATGATGCCGTGAGCTATCACCTTTGGACTTATGACACCATGTAAAGGTAGTGTGTTCACGATCAGTGGCAGCAACAAGAACAACTTCTTTATTTTTGAGCGCGCGCTCCTCTGGTCTCTTCGCGTGCTTCAGTGTTGCTCCCGCTAGCATATGGTAAAGGAACGGTGTCCCTTCAGCCCCTAAGTGATCGGTAATTTTAATCCTAGTCTTGGTGACACAGGCAGCCGAGTGCAGATGTAGCCTCCACCGTGGTAAGAAGAAACTAGCGCCACAAGGCGCTAGTGGCAGAAAGGCGAACATACGTATGGTCGGAGACGAAAATCTGTCTCAAAAGACTGCCAGATGGCGCCATTACGATCGTTGGCGTGCACCCTCCTCGCCTCCTCCTCCTTCCTTTTTTTCTCTCTTTTTTTGTCATTTTTGTTTGCTTGCTTCGCTGCCGTCCGCGCGCGGCTCGTTTGCTCAACCGGTGCCGTGCTGGCTAGGGATGCCGCGAACTTTTTTCGATCGAAGTTTCGATGATCGAGACAAGCGGTTCGAAAGATTTCGATTTTTCGAATTGTCTACATCGTAAAATTCGACGGAAGTCGAATTTTCGAACTTGTTGAGCTAAGTGGTTCGACGCTTTTCGAAACGTCGAACTTATTATGCTAAGAAATTCGATCTTTTTCGAACTTTCGAACTTATTGCGCTTTAAAGTGCGATGCTTGTCGAACTTCCGAACTTGGCTGACCAAAAAATTTTATAAATTTCGAAATTTCGAACTTATTTATCAAGAGAATTCGAAAAGTTTCGAACTTTCGAATTCTGAAAAGTCAGAATTTTGACGAACTTCGAACTTTTAGGGAACTTCGAAAGACCAGCGGACGGTTTCGTTTGAATTCAAGTAGTGAGGTACATTCGTAGTTTTTTTTTTTCTCGAACTTTTACATGCGGTGCTGCGTTCCTTACGAAAGACAATGGCGTTTGTTTCAATGTTCTGGCATGCTTAGTTTTAAAGAAATAAATTTCCGAAGGGGCGAGGAAGGACGACGGGTTTTTGATGATTATCTTTGTGCCAGACTTGAAGCGCGCTGTAGCCGAAGCTATTTGTAGTAGAGATGTTATACTTTTTTTAAGAACGATCTATGTATAGCCTAGGTAAGTGCCGTCTTAAGATGTGATTATTGTTATTCAACGTGAGTTTCGAAGAAATGTCCAAACATGTATCTACATGCAATTATGCCCTGAACTTGATATTTGTATTTGTCTAAGTTGTTTGAGGTATCGCATTTAAATTAACACCGCGGACAGTACATATCATTGCCATCTGCAGAATACAAAATAATGTATTTATTGTTTTTTCACGTTAAGTAATGAATTAACTCATGGGAGAAGATTTCTAATAGTGTTCAAGGTCAGCAACGTCATTAAAAGACAACTTTTTTGTTTCGCTTCACGATTTTGGGACGTGTTACTTTTAGCCTGTACACATTTTGGTAAAAGAAACTTGTTTCGAAGTTCTGAACCTCTGAATACGCAAGAATACATCACTTCCGGCAAATTCTTGATAGTTTTCTTTTTCTCCAACTTTTTATCCCCGCATTTATACTTTTTTTTTTTTTTTTTTTTACTATTGGCAGAGGTATTTAGGTCGAAAAGACATAGCTTTGAACTTCCGAACCACTAAGCATGTGACGAGTAGTGCCTTCTGACAACGAGTTTCTCACAATGACCATCTACGCAATCTTTTATGCAGTGAAGAGCGACAGTAGCTATACATATGCATAAATAATATCAGATTAAAATAAGCTCGACCACGCCCTCTTTTCCCGTGTTGTTTTCTTTAACAGTCCGAAATATCTGGAAGGGGGAAAGGAAACTGAAGCCCCCCCCCCCCCCCCCCCCCCCGCTACCCTCTTACCCCCCGTTTTTCCTTTTCCGACGCCACCTGTATGGTAGAACGCTCCTCGACCTCGAGTTGTGTCGGCTTTTTGGGGGGCGATTCCTCCGTTGCAGAAAATAAACCTCCAGGACAATTACAAACTTAACTTACTATATGCCAGCGTCACCCGGGCGGCGTTCGATCAGATTACTTCCAGCGTGCAAGGGGTGGCGAGGTAGTTTGCCAGGTCGCTTCAAGGTTTTTTTGAGCCTCAACCTCGTGCCCGCCCCTGGCCGTTTTGAACTGGATGAGTCTCGTAAAACAGTGTGTTCGTGTGATCACTACTGCGTGATGCAGGTCAAACACTCCCCCCCCCTTCCCCACCCGGGCTGGCGGTCACAATTACTGATCCACGGTCACACGTCACTCTGCACTGGCAAATATTCCAGCACATCCGGGACACTCGTCGCCTCATTTAATTGCGTGACCAACTTCGCAGAATCTAGATATTACACCCTAACTTTTCTAAACTTGATTTTGTGAAAACCAGTGTGTCGCAAAAACGTTATTTGAAACAAACTGTGGAGGAACTTGAAAACCTGCTTCGAACTTTGAAAACTTGGACTAGAAAAAATCAAAATCTTCAAAGTTTTTTTTTTTTTTTTTCGAATTTATCGTTAAAAAGAATTGAAACCTTCGAACTTTTCGAACTTTATCCAGAAAGAAATTCGAAAAATCGAATTGTTCGAACTTCATGTCTATAAAAATTCGAAGCGTTCGAAGTTTTCGAATTTTATTTCCAAAGAATTTCTAAATCTTCGAATTTATCGAACCTGAAGTAAAAAAAAAAATATTCGAAATATTCGAATCGAAATTTTAGAAACCGTGAAAGCTTCGAACTTTTCGAATTCGAAACTCCACTGTGATCGAAAGGTGCGAATTTTTTCGAATTCGAACCTCGGTCGGTACGAAAATATCGAACTTTTTTGAAATCGAACCTCAGTTCGCTTCGCAAATATCGAAACCTTTCGAAATCGGACTTGGGGTGGTTCGCGACATCCCTAGTGCTGGCCACTGCGAGCGGCCAGCACGGCACCGGTCGAGCAGACGAGCCGCGCGCGCTACGTTTCGCAACAAATGCGCTTCGCGTGACATTACCGGTGCAATAAAACAGAAACAGCAGGTTCATTGAAATGCATTTTTTATTGAACACCATTCACATGGGTTGCGGTATTGGAAAGACCTATTTACAAACTACATTGCCGCTTCATCGCCCAACAAAGGAAACCAATATCTGTAAAAGGCAGTAAACGTTGTCAAATATGTAAAACGAAATAATTACTTTAATGTTCATACTAACAGGACAGCACTTATCATACTTCGAATTATCTAAGTGACTCTGTAAACAACTCCTACAAACAAAAATGCTTAATACCCAAACAACAAATCAACTCCCAAATAAAGCAAATCTGCTTTAATATTTAAATTCCAACAAGCATACAGAAGTGCAGACAGCCCTATAAACAAAAATGCAGTTCCACAAACGACGCTCATTACAGTTGTTAACCGTTCTGCAGGATTTTGGCAAGCAGGGATGTTCACAAAAATAATACCAAGACCTATTGCGCAGGTAAGCAGGCTTATAAAATCAACCCAGCAGCTATTCACAAGATTCAATGTAACCAATATGTACAATTAAATCTGGAGGAGTAAGCGCACACATAATGTGTTTACGCTACATACTAAGTTTTTGAGTACCACTGAAAAGACATGAGGTCTGATAGGTGCATATCAAATGTGAATTGTGTGAAGTTCATTATGGTTTGTGTGGGGTTAGTCTGCCAGGGATGGAGGCAACCTGTCTTCAATTTAGACGGGGCATTTTGAGCAGCGTAGTCTGAATGCTAGATTTGACATTCAGAGAGTCAAGTTAGTCGTTCATGTTTATATAGCGTAAGGTCGGTCTGCCAGTTTGAGGCGAAACTGGTTCACGCTGCAGATGAGCAATTTTGCCAGTTCAGTATGTATGACTGCTAGACTGGGGTCTTTGACGTGCTCACGCAGTAGTGATACACGACCGCACGCCGGTACGATGCTCATCCAGGCTGAAACGGGCAGGGGTGGGGCTAGAACCCAGGATCCTTGGGTTTTGATTTGGCATCCAAGTTATACCAAAAAGAGAACTTTCGACATCCGCACAGGTGCACAAGAGCCATAACCAACTCTCTACTAAATCAAATTAGTTTGAAAATGTGTGTCGATTCCTTTTTTTAGATGTTTTACGGGAATCTTTTTTCAATAGATCCCAGTTAACGAGCCGAATGTGCCAACGTAGGCGCACATTCACAAAGAGGTGGAGGAACTGCACTGTGCATGCTGAGCTACAAAAGTGAGCTTCGGAATGGGGTACCAGGGCATGCACAATGCGCTCAGCTACCTTGGGCTTGTGAATCTGCTGCTGCTCAACCTGCTCAAGGAAAATATGCTCAAGCACCTTGAAGCAAAGAAAAACAAGAATCAGATGGAGCACAAAAAGAGCCGAAAATTGAGCCAGGTGCGTTCGCTTGAAGCAGGGCATGGAATTGAACTTCCGACGTTAGTTCACCACTTGCAGCTTTCAACAAGTCCGGGCTAACATGGTAAGATACCTTCTTAAGAAATGACTCAACCAGGCCCCCAGAGAAGTGATACAGTATGTTTTCCTGGACAATGTTTTGATTTAGATCATCGGGTAATGTAAGGTCGTCAGCATCAATTGATTCCAATGGCTCAGGCTGGTGGCTGGCTGCAGCCGACACTGGGAGGTGCCTCAATTCCATTAGCAATGTGGCATTGTCTACCTCAAAGTTTCCTTCACTAGAAAGTTGAAACATCTTTCCAAGAAAATGTGTTTTAGACCTGGCACAAACTGGTCGGAATTGGGCGTCTCGCTGCAGCCGTGCCGCTGCGGTACCATGCCGAACATGTTCTCTAGCGGGTCCTGGTTGAGTCGTCTAGTTTGAAGGTGCTCAAAGTTAAAGTTCTGCCTCAGATCTTTCCCACAGTCAGAGGATGGCATTGATGGGGATTTGCCACCCTTTTATTGTCTGAGGTTGTTTGGGAGAACGAAACTGCCACTGAGAGATCCTCGAGCTTTTTCGAGCGCAAGAAATCTACATGTTCCGATGTAGAAGTAGAATCAAATCTCATTTTTCCTTTGTCACATTGAAGACTTTGGCTGTTTAGCGAATCAAAAATGTGATCCATTTCTTCAAGGAAGTCGCATGTGGCCTGAGCCTCGGGGGGCAGCTGATTGAAGGAAATGAAACTCGCAAGTGCGCCAGAAGGGTGTCACTAAAACCTGCGCAGCAAATTTCACCTTTATGTTCCCAAATTGGGTCTGATAGATGTGCCTGTCGGTAAGTTTTTTTGCCAATCGCAACCGCACAGGATGCTTGTGTTTGTAGGAGTCAACAATATATTTCCATGATATCAATGTGTTGCCAATGCTGAGGTCATGCTTGCGCAGGTTGTTTCGTGAACACTTGAGGCGGTGAGGGGTGTCAAAGAGGAAGTAGACCTGGTTGTCACCAACAAAGAAGAACGGATGGTCTGGTGTGACACCCAGCATTCCTGCAAGAGCGGAATTACTGGCTCCCCTGGTCACACACAACAGACTTCACAAAGATTTCTTGAGAAATCGGACTTTGAATGATGTGTGTCAACAAGTCAGGAAGACATCCAGCAGAAGCTTTTGTTTTTAATAGGTGAAAGCATGTGGTTGAACCCAGGACTGAGAGATACCTGCCAGCAGAACAACCGAACCTGAATCAGCCACATCAGCATTTTGCTCCTTACCCTTGTCTGTAAAGCCATGCACGATATCGGATTTAGAGTCATAGAAGGCATTTTCTTTCAGGGACATTTCGTCGAACATCAGAATGCATGCTCGATCTTTAAGGGGCCAATCGTGTAATTTGTTTACACCAGTTGTGATGAGACTGGGAACAACTCCAGGGTGCTGAGCGATGCGAGACAGTCAGTTCTTCAGCGACCTAACTGATGGCAAGCTCAGGTACTTGGCAAGGTACTTGTAAGCCCCGCGGCTCTGGAAGTAGAGGTTTAGCGCAAAAGGCTTGAACTCATCAGGCCATTTTCGTCCGAACATGTTCGTAGGCTTCAAATGCAGCTGAATCTTGAAAATATCAAGTGCTCCCTTGGAAATAAATTTCGAAGCACTCTTAAGGACCTGATGTCTAGTCAAATCTGCAAAATCAGTTTTCTGCGACCAGCTGTGCTGCTTGTTGGGGTTGCTTTTAGATCAGCAGTGCTGCTTGACGAAGGGCCAGCTACGGCGGCCGCAGTGCTGCCCATCGACGTCCTCTGGGGGGTATCTGTTCAAGAAAGTTTGTGAAACCTTTAAAAATTAACCGCTCTTTAGCTTTAGATTAAACTGAATTCGGTACAGCTATGATGGTCAGGTTACTTCTCTGTGACTAGTCATAACTAAACCAGAAAACAGCCAAGCACCTACAGGGGAAAGTGATTTTAAAACACCACAAAGCACTTATGTATCGCCATGCTTTCATCTATGCTCTAGTATATTCTTTCAGCTGTTTCTGATTTCGACCACATATGTTTTTATCTTCACCACCTTTTGTGTTGTTTTTTGAGGCCCAAGTTTGATGTGCGTTCATTGCCCACTATACCTACATCCCAGCTCCCACCACCAATTCAATTTCACTGCCCTATAAAAGACTGACTGCCTTAGCTTCCGCTCAAATATATTATGCTTTTATCGTTGGTGAAAACAGTAGGAAAAATCTCTGCTTCTCACCAGTGTGGGGCCCCTGAGCCTCTTCATATTGAGGAGCGTCCGGGGCAACTGAAGTAATTGCACCCATAGCTTGTAAGATCACAAAGGTCTACACTATTTTATAAGCATCAAGGGTTAATTTAAAATATGTGAGCGTAGAACACAAGGTATACACCCTACAATTCACGCTTTCATGATTTGAAATACCAGTAAGGAGATATTCATCTCATTAACGAGTGGACCCTACTCCTGTCGCTCATGAATAGTGGCTTGAGGAAGTAGTGATGAGACTACGCATAAAAGGGAAATGAACATATTTTGTAGAGTATGAGCCCACATTCCAGGAACATTCGTCCAATTGAAAATATAAAGTTCTAATTATATGTCTAACTTGTAAAGTACAAGCTTTTTAGCCTGAACGAAGTATTAAAGTACTTATATTAATTTTTTCCTAAATGTGGTAATTTTAACATTAACATATGCTGCATCAACAGCTGTAAGTTTCAATTGGAATAAAGCAACACGAATTTTTTGGAAGCTATATAGGTACGTTATTATGCTCTGTAATTAAGCACGAGAAAATAGCAAAAACTACATGGCGAATTATAATTCATGTGTTCCCGAATAAAAGTATCACAAAGAAATTGGATTTCTTTTTCACCAAGGTGGAGGACGGGCCCTTCCCCTTGCTCCCGAGGAGTGTCATGGGGTGTTTGACAAGACTGTTGTAAAAAGGGCAATTAATACATGTTGTGAGTTCACTAAACTAAATATATTGACATAACCTTCAAATAAACTATACTTCAAAGAAAACGAATAAAGAACACGAACTCTGCCCTATATTAATTCTATCTGCAACTACTGTGAAGTTAGGCACCTTGGTGCAGCCGGATGCCAAGTGAAAACGCAAACAGAAAAGGTCCTCATGGTTTGTGCGGCCAAAAGAGACAGGAGAGCCCCAATCAGAACAGCTGTTTGACTTTCCCAACTTCCCCGTCAACGACACCGTGACGTGCGATGCTCCAACGCCGTACTCGTCGAGCTCGGAGCTGCAAGAACTTCAAAGGAGAATGCCGCGCGTTGACAACACTCGCTCTGTGCGATTGAGATCAACACAGACGTTTGTTTGCTCCCGAGATTTTATCACTCAAAGTTTAATCCTGACCACCCCCCCCCCAAAAAAAAATACATATATTAAAATTTAAAAAAAAAGAAATTACAAAGTTTTGTTTTTGTTGTTATGTCAGCGCAGCTCCGCTCCGCGTTACTTGAGATAAGAAGTGGACTAAAATTGCATCAGAACTATATCAACAGCAGCGACACCAAACATTTCGTTATACTATATAGTAATTAAACGACTTATTTTTCGCGGGCTTCATATATTTAATGGACAAAAAGATACTTTTTAGTGTTGTGTCGTTTACCCGCAGTCTGTTTTTTTTTTTTCAACCATGTGCCATATAATTCGGGGTTTAGGACAAAGCTGAAGTTTTGGAATAATTCGCGGGTTCTAATTTTCGCGAGGCAATGGGAATTCGCCAAAAATTAGGTTTTCGCGAAAATCAAGTCGCCTACAGTAGTTGGTTCGACTATGCCATTCTTTACAAATGTCTCACCGTGGTGGGGCCCGATCCCTCCTCCCTCAAGACCAGCGCCTGGGAGGGTCGCTGATGGGACTACGAAAGAAGAACAAATAATATGTACAATGTAAGTTCACTAAATAAAAAATGTGCTGCAAACATGGAAAGTTACATAAAAAGATACAATGAATAAGCGCAAATCGTGAGATAGAATGTTTTAATAACTAAAAACACTACGAACTATACTAACACTTGCGAACCCTGTTAAAAATAATTCTGAAGGGCCTATCAGCCTTGAAGAATTATGGGACCTCACAGGCCTTCAAAAACCTTCAAAAATAACCTTCAGGTATACCTCAGAAAAAGCCCTCCAGCACTACAGCCCTTCAACCCGAACCCCTTAGCCTATCAACCCTTTAGAAATGACTGTGAACCATAGACAAAAATTCAGTTCAAAACGTTATTAAAACTTTATTGCGGAGATTGAGTTTTGCATGCGTATTAAAACTCAAAAAGATAGTAAGAACCAACGCTTGTTCAAACCCGGCCGCAAGCAGCTGTCGACGAAAGAGATCACATCAAATAGGAACAACTGACTTTATCACAACGAAAGATATCTTTCACAGTACACACAATACCGTTGGGTAAATTACAGATCTACGTTAGTTCAGCTAATAAAACCGAACAGGTGCACCTTACGTACACGTACACAGTCTCAGTAAGCACGCTTAGCGAAAACCACGAACTCGCAAGCAGATCCCGTCACCGTTGAGGAATCCCGAGTACAGTCACGGTTTCGTCCGTGGTGTCGTCGGGGCGGCGTCTTCGGCGTATTTTTCGCTCGCTGGATTCTTTTGAAGCCGGTCGGACGAAGAGGCGCAAGGAACAAGGCGGAACAGCGGCCGTCATCCGCCGTCTCAGGACCCACAGTGCCATGATCCCGGTGCGCAGGCACTACATGCGGTGGGACGCTGATCCCGACTGCCAGGCTTGCTGCGAGTAGGCCGACACCGGCCACCATCTCCTTGAGTGCGCTGAACACGATGGCGCTCGAGCGGTCCTGAAGGAGGCCAACGCCAAACTGGGGTTCCCCTGCAAAACTAAGGAAGAAACAGCACGGAATTAAACAGACCAAGTGTCGAGCCCTCAAAGCAGTGCTTACCTTTCTGGATGGAAGAA